CCATCCATACCTCAAAGCGGGGGCACACCCTGCCTGACAGTCGCGCCTTCAGTCCCAGCCAGCCAGTCTGTCCCCAGTCACACGCGGCGGCGGTGATGTAGATACTAAGAGGAGGGTGGGGGCTATCCCCCCCGTTTTCCCACAACGTCTCCCCCTTAAATGTCAAATGTGTGCTCGTCCCGCCAGTCTTCTTCATCACTTAGCACTGGAATACTAGGCTGCCTCTCCGTGCACTTAGGCTAATATAAATATGGCACTATCTTTAACCAGGCTGTTAATTATCTCAGGCTGCTTTTTAAAAAATGAATTACAATCTCTACTTAAAAGCTCATTAGCAGACACCTGCTGTGTAGCACTGATAACGGACAGTTTACACAGAATATTAATAAAAATACATTTTATATGAATTACTCACACGGTCACTTAACGTGATACTAGTACTGTGTTTAGATTATGGGTATATGGGGCATGTTTTCAGATTTTATTCTAGATTTCTGTCATTGGTAGCTTTGGTATACTTTAGAGAGGAGAGTTTAATTGTCTCCTCATTGTTCTAAATATATTTTCCAGATATATCTCTGGAATGAGCCTGGCTACATTACCTGCAAACTTTCAATAAGAGTATAAAATAAAATAATAAATACAAATAGTTAATAGGCAAAACTGTATGTTTCTAGTTCATTTTGAAAAAGAAAAAAAAACATGTAAAAAATATTTTTTCCCATCATCTAATATTAACTCTTTGGAAATAAACAGGTTATTATATTTACTGTTTTTCGAGTTCATGGCAAAATAAATTACTGGTAAAGAATTACAGTGAAAGATCACTTGAGTTTTTTTTATAATGAAAATGAATGAGCTGACAGTGAAGTGAATTCTCATTTATTGACATAATAGATTAGATTAAAAACAACCCAGGAAGCAGCAGGCCCCATCCAAAAGACATTTAATTCCCATTGAAAAAATGAAAGCAGTGGCTTCCTGATGAAGCTGAATGACCAGAACCATCCCATACCACACTGCTGTCCATGGCAAAATTTCCTTTTTCTTCCTATCCTGAACATCTATCATTATTTAGCAATTACTGATTCCTGCTGAGCAGTTCAGGACTGTGCCCAGAGCCTCAAACAATCAGTAGGTGTGAGAACAGAATCGCTATACCATCCTCTCTTGTCTGTCATTGTATACTGGCACACCTTGGCCTTGGACAGCAAGAACAGGCTTCAGGTTTCAGCTTGTCTTTCGTATTCTGACCTAGATAAATAAATGTTCTTTTCAGGGAAACAGAAATCTCCCCGTTAAAGTTCTCCCAGACACCTTGATGTGTTTCTTGTGAAATTAAATAACATTTTACTGGAATCTGTCCCAGGGTGCCATTACAGAAATGCTTCAAGTAATAGTTATTGACTGCGAAAAGGAATGAGATTCATAAAAGTCCGGCCTGCAAGAGCTCCAATTAGGTTCATGCTGAGGCATCATTATCATTTAATCTCTAAAAGTGCCCCTTAGCTACCCGTGTAGCCTGTTCAGCTACTTGCTTTCGCATTTAACATTATTTAACATTATTTCATAGTCTTTATTAGAGTGTGCAAATGACAGCAGGGCCACTGAGACCTTGGATTGCCAGTGTTACAAATGTTAATTTTCTTGTCCATTGGGCACCGTGTTTTTATATCAATTAGCATGATATCAGTTTTTTTTTGGGGATACTGATTGTTCAACTGGATTTTTACCTCATTCAAAAAATATATTGATGAGCTGAAACATTATGACCACCCCCATGTGATACAAATATCTTTGACTATCTCATAAAAACAGTGCATGTCAAAGTCTGGGATACATTACATGGTAAGCCAACATTTGGTACTCCTAGCTGACATACTGAATTCAGAAGAACGAGGTTTGTGGGCTGTGGGGTGTCTGGGAGGGAAAGACCATTATCTGCCGACAGGGTGTTGGGCGGCTAAGGCTTGTCGATGAGAGATGTGAACAAAGGTTATATGACAGGGTTCCCCAATTCAGGTCCTGGCTATCCCATATGACAGGGTTCCCCAATTCAGGTCCTGGCTATCCCATATGACAGGGTTCCCCAATTCAGGTCCTGGCTATCCCATATGACAGGGTTCCCCAATTCAGGTCCTGTCTATCCCATATGACAGGGTTCCCCAATTCTGGTCCTGGGTATCCCATATAACAGGGTTCCCCAGTCTACAACACAGTTTGGCAGATGCCAGACCTTGACACTCACTGTTTTTATGAGTCAACATTATTCGCTTCATGTGGGGGTGTACATAACATAACAATGTAACAACAACTTCAGGTGTACAAAGCAAGCAATATCTCGGCAGGAGTAGGATTAACGGAATCAGTCATTTTTAGTAGAAAGAAATCCTTAAGTACATATTAATATACTGGCATCCTGTCCAGTGTATACCCCAGTTTTGCGCTGCGTGGGATACACTGGGATAGGCTCTTCTGCATCTATGACCAGGTTAAGGGGCTGGAAAATGCAAGACATATTCATATCACTACATATCATAGCTGGAACATCATAAGCTGATTATCTTTGGAATAACACGAAATCTTAACACCCACTATATCACATACTTCTAAGAAAGCACTATCGTTACACTTTGAACCATCTTATCCACAAATCATTTCCTATGAATTTTTTTCTGCTGTAAGTGCATAGCCTAGGCGCAGCATTAGTGAACGCCCACAGTGCAGCACCAGACTAGCTGGGTCCAATTCCCAATTCCCTGGTTTGCCAATAGCCTTCCGTTACGTTCTCGCGCCTTCTCTCGCGATACCGCGCGGCGGCGACCAGCTCCGGCTGATTTGAACTGCGCAGTGCAGCCGGGGCGTCTGGACTCTCCCTTCGGAAACCTGACGGTTATGGCTGGAATATCGCAGGAAGTCGACGACAAGCAAGAGGATGCGGGCGCCACGGGCGCCACGAGCGAGACCGAGAGCGTCCCCCAGCAGGAAAACAGCAATGGCGTGAAAACGTAACCGTACTTTAAAACAGCGATTCTGGTCTGTGTGATGCATAGGTTTATGCTATTTAAAATGGAGGCTAACGTTAAGCAGGACTAAATCAAGCCAACATGACTGAATAGGAATAGAAACCAACGCTTTTAAAGCCCTTACACGTCGTTAAAGCAGTTCAGTTACTTGGAGCAGGTTTTCAGCCCTTGGTATTTTACCCGACCCCCACAAACTTTGATAGCTTTTTCTTTGCTAGCTAGAAGGTTATGTGGTACACAGCAGAGAATGTAGCATGAGCTGCTCCTGCAGATGCCCACCGTCACTGGGTGCTGTGAGTGGCTGCTTCAAGATCACTGAAGCTCATCACACGTGCGTCAGGACCGTCTGGCCCGGGTCCGCATATGTACCCATTCAGCTGTGTCACTGATGCTGCGCCTTCCAGCTAAATAGCTAGTCAGATTAAGGTTTATAGAAATTATGTATTCTAGGGAAGAAGTACAATGATATGCCAGTTACCTAGCTAGCAGTCTGCATTAATATTTAGCTAAGAAAAACATTTTTGTCCCATATGAATCCAGCGTGCTGTGTTGATCCCATATTGTGGACTTATTATAAAATTTATGTTTGACAGTGATTTGCGGTAATGTGACTTTTTAGTGTGTGTGTTTTTTTTTTATCTCAACTACCGATGGTGCATTTTAAATTCATTATCTCTTGCTGCAGAGACTCAGATGAAACCCCGAAGGAAAAACCAGAACTCAAAGAGAAATCATCTGGAGGCAGGAAGTCCAGCCGATTCCAGCCCTATTCCAAAGACAAGCATGGAGACAAGAAGGGTGTTCATCGAAACCGAGTGTTCATTAGCAATATCCCATACGACATGAAGTGGCAGGCAATCAAAGATCTCATGAGAGAAAAAGGTAACGATGAGTGTGACAAATGGAATCTACATATTGGGCTGTCCTGACTCCCCAAAAACTCTCCTTCAAATATGGGAGCCATGTCTGAAATCCCACGGTCATGCGGAGAATCCTATCTCTTGCTTGTAATAGAGTCCGATTTCAGCTTTCTCTGAACATTTTAAATTTGTGTTCTGGGTCTCAATTGGGTTTCTAAATAGGGTTGGAAAGAAGCTTATACTTTGGCCAGGAATTATCTATAAGTGTGAAATTGTTCAGAGCTTTGTTACAGTATTGATGTATATTTTTTTTACAACCTGTTAATTGATGATATAACGTGTGTGTTGTTGTATCTGTTGTAAGGTGACACGTATGTTATTGAAATCATGCCCTGACACACACTGGTTTGAACTATTGGATTTCTGATTCTTAAACATTCTTAGACATGCTTTTGAAAACTGGAAGGCTTTGAAAAGGTGGATGGTCACCTTAAAACAGTTCAGTGTTATTGGTTTGGTCATTTGTTCGCAACTGTACAGCTAACATTAGCTAATTTTGAAGAGTTTTCATACTTTAGGTTGAATACAGCTCGTTAATGGCTGGATTGGTGTGTCTGTAACTGAACAGAATGGCATGGTGTTTTGTCTGGTGGTATGTTGGTCTGGACCTATTGCTAATTGAGGATTTCTGCCTGTAGTCTTGTACCAAGGCCAACAGTGAAGCGAAGACTGGTGTTTTTAAATGCATTGTTTTCTTGGTATTTTCCCTTTGCATGTCTCATGTAGTTGGTGAGGTTACATACGTGGAACTCTTTAAGGATGCAGAAGGAAAATCGAGGGTAAGTTATGTGGACAACTGGCTGTGCAAGGTTTTAAATTCCCTTGCCAGTTCTCACTTTATCAGGTGCCCTACCAGGTAACGAGCCTCCGGGCTACACTCATGTGAATTGCTACTAAACTGGTTTTGTGGATTGAGCCAGTTACAACTGGCTGTGGCTTGTGACATTCTCTGTCTGAGGGTCAGTTAGTTGATGCTACTTAATATGACTGGGACAAACTAACACTGTGCTATAACTTTTTTAGTGACTTTTGTTTTTGTTAAAGCTTACTTTTTGTTGTAGTTTGTAACTGGTTGGTAGTTATGGTTATTAAATATTTCAAAGGAAACATGCGTTTCAGTAACTTTGAACATTTCTAAATCTTGCTTTTAGATTGATCGGTTGTTTTTGTTTTCTTTTTGGATGGTAGAAATTGCAGATCTGGGTAAACTCCACTTTTGTTTTGGCAATTAAGATCTTTATTTTTGACTAAACACATGCTTCTTTCTGCTATTACACATATACCATTAATCCCTGAAAAAACACTTGTGAATGGTTCATCCAAGGTTTTGCCATACATGTTTTTTTTCTTTGTTTAGCCATTTTCTGAAGTTACCATTTTAAAACTTGAGTGATTTATTACAGTAGTTGCTGCAGCATTACTTTTTACTTTGGGCCAGTATCTCCAAACCTTAATATACCTTTGATCTTGAATAAAATGGAGTAAACCTATGTGTATCAGTTTGTGTATATCATTCATATACACACACACATTATGACCTATCATCAAATGTCTGGATTATGGTGCCTTAAAGCTTTTACTAATAACAAAACTCAGTGGCCCAACTCATTTTACAAAGAATACTTCCCTACAGAAGACCTGAGGCTGTAATTGCTTTGGCATTTCAGAAATAACCATACAATTCTAATTCATGTTTATTGTTTAAGCTAAAACCAAACTGTATGTGTACCAGCTATTATGTTTAAGATGGCATTAATCATTATTCTTTTTTCTCCCCTTTGGTACATCTCGACTTACGCCATGTTGACCCTCCAGGGATGTGGGTATGTGCCCCCCCCCCCTTTGGCCCTTGAGAAGAGGTCTGAGAATCACTGGTGTGTGTGGCCTTTTAAATCCTAATACCATTTTACCTGAATCTCGTTTGCAGTGTTGTGGAATTTAAAGATGAGGAATTTGTGAAGAAAGCTTTGGAAGTCATGAATAAGCATGATCTAAATGGCAGACCATTAAACATCAAGGAGGTAGGGCTATCAACGTTGGCTAAACATCAAGGAGGTAGGACTATCAATGAGCCACGGAGGCTCTGATTTTATTTATTTATTTTAGTGTTAAACGTTGACTGTTGGTTCTCTTGTGTTCTAACCAGCTAATTCACAGGTGTTACTCCAAACGCTTTTCAGGACCCTGATGGTGAGCATGCCCGTAGAGTGCTCCAGCGCACTGCGGGTATGTATCCTGGAGGGCGAGGCCAAGATGGTGGTCCAGGAGCAATGAACCTTCCTCCCTGTATTACCAACAATCCAAATATTCTTCCTGAGGTCATTAATTTCCTCCAGGCCGGCCGGTTGGGCTCAACAGTGTTTGTCGCCAATGTAAGGTTAAACCTCATTTTCCCTTCTGCCTTATTAGCACCGTTGAACATTACCAGGATACAGGGTATCTGTGTATCTGATTCTTGTTTTGTATTCTGCTTCCTGCAGCTTGACTATAAAGTAGGCTGGAAGAAACTTAAGGAAGTTTTTAGCATGGCTGGGACTGTGAAAAGGGCGGATGTCAAAGAAGATAAAGATGGGAAGAGTCGCGGGATGGGAACCGTCACCTTCGAGCGACCGCTGGAAGCCGTCCAGGCCATCTGTATCCTCACCCTCCTTTATCTGAATTATCTCTGTGAAATGTACATTGTGGTTAATTTCCTTGACTGCTGCTCTAAGCAATGTTTAATGGTCAGATGCTGTTTGAAAGACCCATGCACGTGAAGATGGTAAGGTTGGTTTATTTATTTATAAAATTGTTTTGGTTTTGGGGACATTTGTTGGTGATATGGTGTGTGAGGACCTGTGGATTTCGTTGTAGGATGACAAGTCCATTCCCCCTGATGATTTCCGGCCGGTTGAGAAGTCTTCTCAGTTGCCAAGTTTGTCCTTTTTGTTTTTTTTCCCTTGCTCCAGTGATCTAAAAATGGCCGCATTAGAACACTATTGGCAGTTATGACCATCAATATTTTTGCAGGGGGTCTTGGTGGAATCGGAATGGGCCTTGGGCCCGGAGGTCAGCCGATTAACGCCAACCGCCTCAGTGCGGGAGGAGGAGGGATGGGCAGCATGAATCCTGGAGGTAAATGAACTTTAATGTTTTGTTTACCTGGATGGTGGTGTGGGGGTGGGGAGTGGGGTCTGTTTTTGGTGATGACTTAAGTAAATGTAACTTACTCTACCTAGGGATGGATGGCCCTGGATATGGTGGTATGGGCCGAATGGGAGGTGAGTTCTATGTTAAATGGATTACGTCTTTATTATGACTAGGGGAGCAGAGTTTGTGTTAGCGTTCAAACCATTTTTGCATCCTTGTTCTCAGGAATGGGCAGTGGAGGCGGATACAGTGGTATGGATGGTATGGGCAGCATGGGGGGCTATGCTGGCAGAGACATGACACCCATGAGCAGAATGGGAGGTAATGCGGGGTCACATGCCGCACACACGTGAATCCAACCGCTTAGTTCCAAAGCAACTCAATGGTCCTGAAATGGTTTCTGCAGGAATGGATGATTATAGAGGGAACCTCGGCTCTGGCATGGGATCGATGGGGCTGGGCGGGGGAATGCCATCAGGAATGGGCAGTAACATGGGAGGTAGGCTGCTCTTCTATCTCATCAGGAAAAATACTGCATTCAGTAATTATGGGATTGCACCAAGATGGCACCCATTGTGGCACGCGCTACCTGTCTTTACACTGCATGACATGTGCCATGTCCGCATATTTATTGTGATAATTGTTGCATCTTAATCTGTACTTCTGATCTGTGTTTCGTGTTCATTTGTGTTTAGCAGAAGGACATATAAAGATTTTAATTGCATAGTGGAACTGACTGCGACAAACTCTTGAATTTTGAATGCACCTTAACTGTAGTCTAAAATATGAAAGTTTTCTTTGTGAAGTATGTTGGTGGTGCTTTGGCAAAGTGCATTGTGCAGTGCTGATAGTGGGTAAAAGATTTCACGTGTGTGTGTGATTCTTGCAGACATGTATCGCTCCGGTATAGGAGGGGTGGACCGAGACCTGGGAAGGAACGAGCTGCCCATGAATCGTGGCTTTGGGGAGACGTTCGGTGGAATGGGTAAGACGGACCCATCTTCGCACGTGTGCGTGCCGGAGTGTGCGCGTGCGTCACAACTTTGTCCATCTCATAAAATCACGTGACCAAGTGCAAATATGTAGATTGTTAGTTCTTGTTTCTGCCTGTGAAGAGAAGTTGTTGGGCTGTTTGCAGCTGACCCTAATGCTTGTGTGGGTGTTGGTCTAGGCCTGACTGCTAGTGACTTCTCTTTATCAGGAGGAGGGTTGGGAGTCTTTGCAGCAGGCATGGGTAGTGCTGGCATTGGCCCGCTGAGGCCTGCAATAGGTACTTTTTCTCCTCCCCATTTGCTTTACATTCACTAACACTCTCTCTGCCAACAAGTTAACTACATTTTCTCTTCCATGGGAGTATTTGCAGCAGAAATGTATTACTAGGCATAAGATACTTGACACCATAATTATCTATGGTTTAAACAGTCTGCCCTTGTTATAGGAGTGGGAGTCAATATTATGGAATAATGTGTTGGTTCAGCATCTTTGTATTTGTATGGCACAAGGGTGAGTGCACGAGTTCTGCTTGAGTGGTCACGTGTGGAAGAGGCAGTGTCATGCTCTGGGATTAAGGTTGCTTTTCCAGTGAATTTGAAGGAAAAAAATGTCTCACGCAAGTATCCTCAAGCTTCTGACTGGTGCTGTAGAAGTTACTGGAAGCTTGGGTGCAAATGTGGGTTTTCAACTAGTGCAGCAAACTCTCTTAACGACGCTTCCTTTCTGTAGGTGGAAGGATGGGCAGCATGGGCATGGAGCGCATGGGCCCCGGCATTGAGCGGATGGCAAGTGGCATGGATATGAACCGTGGGTACAGGGGCTATGGAGGCGGCTCGAGTCACATGGGCAGCGGGATGTCTGACAGGAGCTCGGGCTCCAAGGCAGGCTGCCAGATATTTGTACGAAATGTGAGTAGTAAAACCTGTCCTTAATGTTCTCTAAGGTTCTGAGAAGTTGACTTTAACTCTTTGCTTTACAGGGCACAGATAATGTAGCATTATGCTATTACTTGATGTTATGTTAATTCATCATTAATGGATCGTGACACATGTTTTTTCTCAAGCAGTTGCTATATTTACTGTTTGTGTTAATTTTGTAAAACTTTGTGAATTACTGAAGGAACTACAGAAAGAACAAGTCATGAATGACACGTCAATTATTGATCTCATATTTGTTCATCATTAATGAATCATGATGCATCTTTCATCCCAAGCAATTATATATTTGTTACTGTATCTATTATTTCTGCAAACCTTTATGAACTACTGAGGGAGCAAGTAATGAATAACACAGTACTGATCTCATGTTTGTTCATTATTAATGAATCGTAATGCATGCTATCTCAAGCAGACTGTTTGTTCATGACTTGTTCATGATTTGTACTTCAGTAGTAACTGAGTTATTACTAAGTATTTGTGCCCTGTCACGTGAAGTGTTACCATTGACTTTTGCATTGCAGCTTTCCTATGATCTCACATGGCAAAAACTGAAGGAGAAATTCAGTCACTGTGGTAAGGCCTTTGGCTATTTCCTTTTACAATTTAATTATTCCTGCTGGAGTGCTAGGTCCTTTTTTTTATTAATCATTTTTTTTCTTATCAGGTCAAGTGATGTTTGCTGAAATAAAGATGGAAAACGGCAAGTCCAAGGGGTGTGGGACCGTGCGCTTTGATTGCCCAGAAAGTGCAGAACAGGCCTGCCGAATGATGAACGGCACAAAGATCAATGGACGAGAAGTAGATGTTCGCATCGACCGCAATGCTTAGTCTTGTAGTCGTTATCAATAGCCTTCTGAAGTTTTTGTTTTGTTTTAAAAACATTTTGTGTACCGTCATACCATGAACGCAGTGATAATCACCCGCTTAACTCCTTGTGAATAGGGTTTGTTTATACATGGTGTCTCCAGTCTCTTTTTTTATTAATTATATTAATTGTAGCACATTTTTACAAGTAAATTTGTCACAAACTGTGGAGCGGTGATTTATAGTAATTTTTCCCAATGAAAATGGTAAAATGAGTGAGACAGACCCTGTATTGGATTGGTGATTGAAAGCTGAAACATGGGTAAGGACTGAAGCCAAAAACATTGAAAAAAGAGTTATTCCTTGACTCCTTTAAAGGTGAATGAATAGTGCTCTTCCTTAAAAAGAAGGAAACATAAATGTATATGGGTACTGCCACTGTGTGGAAGATAAGTGATTGGTCAGGTGTCTCTGCTGTGGGAGACAAGTGTGTTTGTGTAAGAGTCTGTGTTTGTGTGTGTGTGTGTGTTTGTTTTGAATATAAAATTGCCTTGCAGCTCTCATTACAGTCTGGGATTGGGCAACACCATATCACTGAAGCAGTATTTGTCATTGTAATGACTGAATTGTCTATGCTTTTTTTTAAAAAAAGTCATAATCCAGGAGTCATACCTATGGAGCCCCTGAAGGTACATGGGTACAAAATTAAAATGCAAAATCATCTTGTGCGCATGAGAAAGAAAGAGCATCTTATTTTTTTGCACAGGTCCCTTCAGGGGCTCCGTACACCTAACTGCTCTCTTTAAATGACTGAGAGGTTTATTTTTCCACTAATTCTGGCTTTTTTTTAGACTTGGTAAATTAGTCAGCTGAAAAATGAGACATCAGGCAAAATGCTCTAAATCCTTTTAATGCGTTCATTAATTCCTGAGTTCCGGCAGTGTGTGTTCTGTGGATCAGTCGTTGCACCTTCTTATTGGGCTGTTGCCAATAATTCCAAGCTCATAGAGGATAGACAAAACCGCAAAGAGAATGTACAGAAATAAGCACACGAGGCCAAGCTTCCAGTCCAGCCTCCACCTGTTCAGATGCACAGCCACAAAGAGGAGAATGACGGACAGGAGCAGTGTGGAGGTCGTGTATATCAGCCCTGCACTGTTGACTTCCACGGGGGACGATGTGTCCACAAACACTGTCTTTATAAACCATGGTAGTCCAAGGCACAGCATGTCAAACACGTTGGATCCTACAATGTTGGACATGGCCATGTCTGCTTTCCCTGAATGAAGGACAATACATATTATATAATATCTGTTAGGGTGTCACCACATTTCCCTCATATTTGTTTAGATGTCCTGAGAATATTTGTGCATTTATTCCTGTGCATTTTCACTGCTCACAGCTGTGAAAAACTGCTGGTTTTCTTAATACATTGAATATTAAGTATTAGAAAGCTAAACTGATTTAATGCATTGATGACCGTAAAAACCAGTACCTTCTCTGGCCACCATAACACTGGCGACTGTGTCTGGGATGCTCGTCCCAGCAGCCAGCAGCGTGAGACCCATCACTGTGTCTGGAATTTGCAGTGTTTCCCCTGAAGACCAAAAGAATAATGAATTCGGTTTCAGAGAAGTAAATTTGTGGTCTAAAGTGCATTCATGCAGTTTAGTACTTCTGAATATATCAGTCTGCGTCATCCCACAGCCAGCTGATTATTTGAGAAGTTAAGCCTCCACTGAAAGGGCTGAAAGGCTCTTCCCACTGTGTCTGTTCTACTAAACTAGCCTTCACATTGTGACAGAACTGCTGGGCTGAAAGCTGCTCAAAGAAAGCACTGTTCCTCCAAAGGTTACAGATCTTCAGCATAGCATTATTACAACTGTGTACAGGGTTGTTCTGTCTTGACAGTATGGTGCACGTTCTTTAAACCTGTCATTTCCCTCATCCGTGTGAGTGTATGATTACTAGCAGGATAATAGCCCAATTGTACTCTGTGATGCCTGTTGGTATCACATGATTTCTCATGGTATCCTAGAGGGCAAATCCGTAATCCTGTGTTGGCCAGGAGCTAAATTTGACCTCAGAGGCTGCAGCAATTCCTCAGGATATAACAATGGAATTTCAGGAATTAGGAATGAAACATGTGATTGTGCTCGTGTGCAGGTCTGACTTCCTTTCTGCTCTCACAGTAGTCTGAATCATTCAAACACTGTGTTCCTTTTAAATGTAAGCATTGAGATCTATATGGACCTTTTTATCCTACAATTAAAGAAATTATTATACTTTTACAGTATACTGCTTTTCACACTTCAGTAGTTTCAACACAGAATGAAGCGAACACGTTTTACCTACGACAGTGACCATCCACACCAGTACGTAAGTGAAGGCCGAGATCCAAACTGCAGACATCAAGAATGTAATCATGAAGCATCTTCTCCAGAAAGGCTTTCTGCAGTCTGGTATGGTCAAATAAAGCAGCAGGATAGTGGGCAATGACAGCACCCACAGGATTCGCTTCAGTGCGTTTTCTGGCATCGAGAAGACACTTCGGTGATCTTTAAGATGAAGAGAAAGGCCATAAATGTTTCTTTAGAGCAACTTATTGGAACATGCTGGACTACATATTTTTTTTTAAGTAGCGCAGCGAATCGATGTTTGCTAAGTTGCGGAGACCTAGCTGTTACATCATACCCTCCTGGATTTCGTTCAGACCATGCAGGCTGAGGGAGAGGTGGGAATATCCCGAGTCATCCTGAAAGATCCCGCTGTCAGTTCTGGAGCGGCTGTGGACCAGGAGGCTTCCTCGCTCATTCCAGCCGACAAGCGGCTGCTGCTCACTCTGCTCCTCCTGGTCCTTTGTCAGGCAGTGACAGCAAGGGCTGAACTTCTTCATAAAGTACTCGCTGATGCGAATGTCGAAGCCCAGCACCACAACATACACACTATAAATAAGGAGTAGGCAGGCGGCGTCATACCTTAAAAGTGAGAAGGGCAGGGCAGCCATAAAAAAGAAAGCACTAGCAAAATCTGACACAGCAATCTATAACAACGCTTAAATTGTACTGTAAATCAAACCGAAGTACAAAAATCATGTGGCCAAAATTGTGGAATAACTTCCAATTTTTAGAGATTGCAGAACTGTATTCAACTGTCGCTCCAGTTACTCATTTAACAGTCCAATGTATGATATTTGTAACATTCTTTGATTGTTTATAAACAGTACCACCAATATTCGTACAGTAATTTTTAAAGCATAATACCAAAAATACTAGGTGTTTCCACAATTTAGATTGTATCTAAAAAGAAACGCTGATTTATTTATTTATTTATTTTTCAGTGTAAAACACTGTTGATTTATTATCACAACGGGTCCCTAGACAGCATATACTTACCAATAAACCTTGTTATCATAGATAATAGCAATAACAGCTGCGACGCTTAAGGCATAAGCCACACAGTCCCTGAACAATGGCCAGCAGGTGAGCTGTCCCACCTGAAAGCAGAATTAAGCCAGTTATAGTATCAGGGTGGCCAACTTGGCTGGCTGGCATGAGAGCTTCAAGTCTGCACACATATTTACGGGTATTATAAGAGTTTCATTATAATGAAAATAGTCTGTAGGGTTTGCAAACTACCCCAATGTCACGCCCGATGCGCAGATGTGTTTTCCATGCTAAAGAGGTCCAAGACCCCAGAAGCTTCACAAATTCAGCCGTAGATCCTTCAGTAACTGACTTCAAATAACAAGCAAATTAAATTGCAACACGATTCTTAATTCAAGTGTAACTTCGCAGAAGTTCAGGTTATTTCACGGGAGAAATGACCGTACAGGATTAATACATGTTACTTACCGCAGAGGTTAGAAGTCCACAGGCAGCACAAATTCCAAGGAGGTTATACACTGCAGATCCGACTATGGTACTTACACCGATGTCTCCCTTTGTTACAAAAACACCTAATGAAATAATATATACACACATTGTTATCATTACTAAACTTTTAGCGCAGTGTGTATTTATCACGGCAGGATAACAGAAATAAATAGGCCTACCGAGAAATGCCGTAACTAGTTCAGGTGCAGAGCTGCCCGCTGCCATAAAAGTGGCGCCAGCAACGTCTTGAGAAAGCCCAAGACCTAGGAAAAAAATGTGTAGAAAATACTGTATTCTGTACAATTATATAACAATGTCTGATTTATAAATGCAACAAAAACATCGCCGGTCACTTACGTTCGCTGATAACTTCAAGCGATGGTAAGAAATAATCCTCACATATTATTGACACTGCTAGCAGCATGTAAAAAATAATTATAAAATAAATGACAATGCCACCATCTTTCCGTTCTTGCACTGTGAAAAAACCATCTGGAAATTCCGAGGAAATTGGAGATATACACTGGGACTCATTTTCTGTAATAAAAATGAGATCATAGAGCATTCTTTAGTAACATATGCATAACCTCGATATTGTTTTCTGCGTCCAGAAGAGACATTTTTAGAGTTCATTTTTAACTAGGAAACGGATAACAGTCATTATGAATTCTGACCATAATTAAAAGAACAGAAGCTCGAATGCAAAACCCTGAACGCAACACATATTGGTACTTACCGACATCCCTACGTAATCTTGTAGAATGTATGCCTGCTGACGTTACGGACACTCTGACCAATAACTGGACCGAACAATATAAAAGTACAATAGCTCCCAATACATAAAATAAGACTTCTCTTCTTTTCTTTCTCTTATGTAGAAAAGTAGATTTCATTGTTCCCTGATTTAAAAACACTGGACACTATAACTCATGCAACTATTTCACTATGCCTGTGCAACGTAGTTTGCGGGAGCTTCTGAGAAATTCAGCACTTCAAAAGTGAAGTGAGGCTTGGCTAGTTGGAAACCATCACATTTAACCCGGGACTAGAAATCACGGGATTAAACGTGAATGGGCATTTTGCCTCGGGCTTAGCAGGTGACCCACTAAGTTACAGAAAATAGAAGGGTGTAGAAAGGAATAGTTTTATTATCGCAGTAATAACTGTTACAGAGAAAAATCAAAGGCTGAGCTTCCCGGAGCTTTCTTAATGCTACGTTGTTCGTAAGTTCTGTCTTTTAACATAGAAGTTTAGAGCACCGTGGCTTAACATAAAGATTGGTTTTTACTGATGAGGACAAGCGTGTATAGGCCTAGATGATGGATGGACGGATGGATAGGTGCTACCATTTACAGTCATTGTTACTAATTTGATATTTTGTTTCACATGAACTACTGCGAAAAATATAC